CGTCCGGCACCTCCTAGCCGGCCAGCGCCGGGGTTTTTCAGCCCGTAGGGGAGCGTGTCAAATGGCCATGGGTCAAAACCCAAATCGTACCCCCAGTGAACATCCCAATCCCCACTAAAATAGGTTCTAAAATGGGTGGTGCTTCTATCCCAAAATGGTACCATCCCAATCCCACAATCAAACTAACACTCAACACTCAAATCAACTCGCTGAACATGGCTAGGTCCTCCAGTAGAGAGGTTAGAATAAGGGTACCGTTTATTTTTCCTGTAGAGTCTATTTTAGGGACCCCTCCCCAGCCAAAAAAGTTGGCCAAAGGGCACCTAGCTGGGGGACCTAGATGGCCACAATGACAACACAAACACTCTGCAAGGAAGTCCTGACTCGGCGTGACTGTGTGGACGCTGCCGCCAAAGATTGCCTCACAGCCGCACTCATTGAGTGAACGGAAGCTGCGTCCAAATGGCTGCTTTTGTTTTGGGTACTCCGGTTTCGGGGCTGATTTCAAGAACCAAAAGCAGACCACCCAATTTGAGGGAACCTTCGGTCGGCTTCTCTTCCTTTAATCCTGATCAAATCAACAAGAAGGGTACCCTGGCACCATCAAAGAGCAGTCCATGTCCCCTTCCATGTCCTAACATGTCCTTCCATTTCATTCCATGTTGTTCCATTGCCTCCAAATCATTCCATATCAGTCATTCATTCAGCCAACTGGCAGGCTTCCCATGTGCTGCTTCTCGACTCCAAACATGGGGGCTCTCGAAATGCCCCCACAAAAACCAGGTAACAACTCAATTTCCCATGTCCAAATGGCAGTGGCTCCAAGAAACAACTCAATTTACCAGCGAACACAAAACTGCCATCGGCGCCTGTCCAGAGTTGGTCGTCATGCATACCACGTAGCATGCCGACCTGATTTGCGCGGCAAGCGGAACCCAGGGAACACCTTCAGTCCGGAATGCGTGCGTCGCTTTAAAAGCGGAGATTCTGGGAAAGTACACCATAGTGAGCCACTCTTCTTAGTGGGGCTTGAAAGGAAGGCCAGGAAAAAACAAACAAAGACAAAATGATATTTGGAGGAGCTCCTGGTTTCGACGCTCTTCCTTGCATTGGTGGCATCCAAGAAGGAGCAGTTGATGTGTTGGCACAACGCACATCGTGATTTCCGGCACTACGCTGATGCCACCAACAAGAAGCATACTTGCCGGTCATGATCATGTCATCCCCAAAACAGAACAGGCAAAAAACAAAACAGGAACAGACGTCATGATCATGTCTTACCGCTCAACTTAGGCAAAACACAGCAGGGACAACAGGGATCCTTACATGATACACCTGAACATTGCCTTGTAAATGGTGGTTTCCCTTTATTCTGGTGTTGAAAAGGGAACATGTTTCAAATGGTTGCAAAATGTATCTTTTAAGGAGCCCTGAGCCGCCTGAGCAAATGGATGTGTGGCTAGTGGAAGTGGAAGGAAGTTCACACGGGCGAGCTTGGCTCCCCGGACGTGTCCACGGACAACTCCCCATAGCTGCAGGAGAGCTGGAAGCTGCCTCAAGGCGTGTTGGTGGCCATTTTCTGACTTGCAACCCAAAGGGGTCAGGTAACCTTGGAGGATCTTCTTTTGCGGCGTTGGGTCATGCGTGCTTCTGACTTGCAATCCAAAGGGAGGTGCCCTTGGAGGATGGCATTTTGGGGTTGAATGGGCAAAGAAGACTTGTTGACTGGGGTAAATCCGCAAGATTGCCGCATGGCCTGAAACCTCGCTTGGGCTTCCTAAAGTACTTTGGATGAAGCTTTCCGGTCAGCGGAGAGCGAAGACAACGCAGCCGCAGTCGAAGCCACACGTGGCCATCACACGTGGCCATCACACGCGGCCATGGGTGAGTCATAACCTATGCCTCCATTTTGGGGCGGATGAACACCCATGTATCACCTATCTTGATTTTCACCAGGGGTACAGGGCTTTGACCCGCAGCCACAAGGTGGTAGGTGCACCTCAATAGGATTTCATCTATGGCACCTGCGAAATGGATCTTGTGCGACCGCAGTGGGGGCATTCCCCTCGTGACTTGGGAGCCCAAACTTGGGCTTGTCCCCAACCCCCGGCGGCTTGCTCTCTCACTTTGAGCCGCGCCCTGCGGCTTGGGGTCTTGGGGTCTTGGGGTCTTGGGGGGTTCTCCGGTCAGGTTCAACCTCATGGCTTGCCAAATTCAATCTGTGCGTAGAAGATGTGAGGACTTGAAACCTACGACATGAGCCACCGGAAAAGGAAATTCGGCACAATTCATGCTATTCACACAACCGAGAAGCCATACTGCGGATGGACAGCATCCATTTCACACCTAAGAAACCCTGGCTTCTGATGATTCCCCCTGTAAAGGTCAACAAACAATGGTTGCCCATGGTTTGAAAGTGGAGTCAAAACCCAAATCGTACCCCCAGTGAACATCCCCACCCCCACTAAAATAAGCCTAAAATGGGTGGTGAATTCACCTACCAACCAAAATGGGATCCCAGAACGGTTTTGACAACCACAGCCAAACGGATGTCGCAACCCTTCAAAATGAACTCCGCTCTCCGCTTCCCCCCCGAAGATTTTCTGAGGCCCTGACCTCGCAGCGCCTCAGGAACGCCGGACGCCACGGTCAACAAAACTGGGGGGGGGGGTTCTCAAAATGGTGGAATCCGTTCTTGATGGCTTTACTCGGTTGCTTTCTGCTCCCCTGCTACAAGCTTAGACTTTTAGTGGTTTAATGCAAAACCCACTAGTTGGCAAAAAGCTAGAGTCCTGACATCCAAGCAAAATGCACCAAAGTTAAGAGGGAAACCAACCACCAAAAAGGGAAGCCCCCATGTTGAGTTGAGACCATTTTGAGCAAGACGCAACTCTCTCCCTCCATCTGTGCCGCCGCCCCTAGCAGTGCCGCTCTCAGGATTGTTTGTTTTCAGCTGGTTTCATGGGATTCTGGCCAGTCTGAAAAGACTTGAGCGATACCTACGAACTGTAGCTCACTCATGACCTTCACTGCCAGTCAATTGCTCAATCCTCCTACTCGTTCCCTTCGCCTCACTGGACTTAGCCTTGGCCTCTGTTGGCCTCCTTGCGCATAGCAAGGCCCATCAACGGTGCATGGACAGATCCCCGCACCAGTTGGGATGGATGAAACCGTATGACATCTGCTGTAACTTGTGTAAACCACCTAGCAACTAGTGCCGGATTTCGCCCATACAGTAGGGACAGTGCCGTCTCTGGCTCAACTCAGCTGATCCAAACGCATGGATCCGAATCTGGTTCGAAATACTGGATCCCTTTTCGAACCCCAGTTGGCGCCACGAAACTTCACCAAGGTCACAAAAACGGACGAAACATCGCCAAGGCCGGTGGGGGAGGGGGGCTATTTTGACGACTTTCCCGCCTCGTGCAAGTTCACGCAATCCATGGTGCTGGTTCCCTGGTGCGCGATATCCGCAGGCCTCAGCCGAGCTGTGCCACACGATTCGGTGAACGGGAGCCTCAATGCAATTGAAGACCTGGACTATTGGACTTGTCCCCTGTCAGAAGAATGCCTAGGTCCTCCAGTAGAGAGGTTAGAATACGGGTGCCGTTTCTTTTTTCTGTGGTCTATTTGAGTAAGGGAACCCTCCCAACTGAAAAAGAAACGGTAAAAGGGCACTACTGGGGGACCTAGGAATGCAGCAACGCAACCCAAGGAAAAAAAACAAAATGGAGGTGTGTGCGTGTGTGCCTGAACGTGCGCACTTATTTTTCCCTATTCAGGCTTCTTTTAAACAAATGCCAACAGGATACCCACCATTTTGGGTGGCCATATCGCTATTTTGAGGAGCCTGGGATTGGGGGATCATTCCCACTTGAGACAAGATTGGCACACCTCAGAGATATAACCTACAGGTTGGCAGCGGCCATACATTACTATTCCAAGAGGTCAGTCTTGTGGGGATTTGAACACCTGCTTCTTGCAGAAGGAAACCACCGCTAGCCTCCAAACCGCCAATCTAAACCACTGTCTAGAGGGATCATGCTGGGTGCTTTGTGTGAGCCGATGGTGCAGTAGCCATGAATCAACCCTCGAAAAAGCACTTAAGGCGATCGGCTCGTGTGAATCAAGCTCGCCCAAACGGGCTCGTTTTGGCTTCACAGCGCCCACAAAAGGGCCACGGTGCGTCGTCAAAGCTGTCCTTAGGGACGCTTACGCTAGCTAAAATCGCATTCATGACTATCCCCACAAGTCAAAGGATGTGTTGAGCACACATTGACAGCATGGGGTTGCTATTGTTGGGTTAGTCCACTTCCGTGCTTGGTGGTTGCTTAAGAACAACCAAAGGGCAGCCACCCATTTCGCGGAGTCCAATGCACATTTTGAGGCAAACATCACCTGCTAGAGACCCCTGACTTCACTCCTCGCCAGCTCAAAGACAAATTTTTGTCAGCTGACCACAAGGTTATCTGTAAACCACCCGAAATGGAAAAACAATAGACCCCTGACGCCATCCTGGCAAACGGTGATGTTGAAACATCCGAAAGGGTCGTCCAAAACAAAGAATACTCAAGGATAGCCAAGTTGCCTCTGTTTTCCAGAAAACTTTACCGAAAGAAGCAGTCACAATTGGGAACAACAGCAGGAGATCCCATCCGGAAACGAATCGAAAGGGCCAAACAACCCGACCAACATGACACGATTTGCGAGATCTAATCAAAAGATGGCCAAGCTGCCGCGCGTTATTTTTGGACACTTCACCCAAAGCAAAGATGTAATCCAAAAAAGTACTGGCAAAACTCCCCAAAAGAACATAGAATCCAAAGATAGACTCGCAAAGCTCCCAACGCATCCCCTGACTCAGTGGGAGCCAGGCAAAGTGCTGGAGCCCTGGTGGCTGGAGGCCGAAGCGCTGAAGCCAGCGCCTGGCTCGAGTCACCGCGTCACCGCTCGCTGTGAGGTACGGCTTGCGCCCGGATACGAGGTAAACAGCAAAAACTTCTAGGAACAAATAATATTCTTATTGATTATTTGGTTTCTTGTTGATTATTTGGTTTCTTATTGATTATTTGGTTTCTTATTGATTATTTGGTTTCTTATTGATTATTTGGTTTCTTATTGATTATTTGGTTTCTTATTGATTATTTGGTTTCTGATTGATTATTTGGTTTCTTATTGATTATTTGGTTAAGATCTTGGTTCACGGTTAAGGATGTGTCTTTCTCCCCAAATAACAACAGCCACCATCGACAACTTCCATTTGGTTTTTAGGCCCCAGGGAAAAATGAAAAATATGAACTCTTTTTACAACCAACCAGGGAAAATAGAAAACACTTCTTAAGCACATGGAGGAAAAGCACGGCCGACTGTGGCTGGTTTCGAAATCCATTTGGCAGTGGTTGTCAAAACCGTTCTGGGATCCCATTTTGGTTGGCAGGTGCACCACCTATTGTATGCTTTATCTTAGTGGGGATTTGGATGTTCACCGAAAATACGGGATTTTGACCCATGGCCATTTCGCACCACCGTTCAGAAGCCCTGGTTTCTGATTTGATTCCCCAGCAAATACCACCGCAGCATGGTTTCAACCATGGTTTCATTTCGTGGTGCGGTGCTGGATTTCGAAGCCATCCACATCTCCATGCCACTCAATCACAAAACAGGACTCCTCTGAAAGAGGATAGGTTTCAAAGATATGAATTTTAGTTAATTAGGGACCCGAAAGGGTGGACATGATTTAGGTGAGGATTTGTGCACACAAGCCCCATTCAAATTCATAGCCAAATGGCAAACAACACCTTGTCCACAGTATGGCCAGGAGAGAGAAACACTAACAAGTCAGGACTTCCTACTGGTTCTCAGGGAGGGGAATGACGCCGACTGAACCGTACTGGTGGTTTCCTTTAAGGGAAACCAACAAATGGGTGTATGTCTTTAAGGATGCCAGTATGGGGTGGGTTTTCAGAAAAGGCTCTCAACACAAACATGTCCTTCCCGCGAAACTCCAGAAACAATTATCAGTTGCATCTCCGGCATGGGCTTGACCATCATTGGGAAACAAAAATAACGACAAACGGCTTCCTCCAAATCAGCTACATGCAGCTCTCCCATGGTGCCTGCCACACATTGCTTCGCAGTGCAGCCGTTCTGGATGCCTGAGCCGAGCAGGCCACAGGCAGCTGGAAAAGATGGGTCTACCTTGGCGTTCCTGGAGTTGCCCAGGCACCCTTTTTGGGATGCTTGAAAGGGCAACCAAAAGCAAAACATCCAAATTTGAATCATTTTGCGCCAACCCCACTAAGACTTCAAACCAGCCAAACGGATCTGAATTCCCCCCTGCATGCGGTATTCAAAGGGAGTCCCGATCATGGAAACCCAAATGCTCTCTAGAAACGTCCTCTCCCGGGGCAGACGTAGTGAAGCCTGGTGATTGTGCCTAACGTCACTATATACTCATACGGAAAATTGGGATCAGGGTGAGCCCTGGCTCAAATTGGCTTCCAGCGACAGAGCGACAGGGATTCAAGATGGTTTCCAGCGACCCAACCCACATTCAGATATATCTATCATGCAGTGACATGGTGGTTTGTTTACCACCTGTTCCCATTGCAACCGTGGTTATGGGGGTCGGGAAAACCAAATGAAAGAGACTCGAGGCCTCAACTACCTTCTTGCAGCCGAACAATCCGAAACTCTGTCCTTTGCACCAGCTCGCGAGTTTTGATGGCAGACCCCAAAACGGCAGGACATGATATTCAAATCAAAGGAACATACAAGTACCTCTTTCTAGTGTGGGCCACTCATTGGTTTAAACATGTTTAAACCAGTGGTTGTGATGATGATTCCCTTGCAAAGGTGGTGTTTGAACCCATATTTTGCCCCACCCAGCGTCTCCTTCAGACCTGTTTTCTCCCCCACTTGTGTGACCCTGGCCAGCTCCAAAAACCACGGCGCGAGTGCAAAACCTCCGGGCGCCCAGCTGGCGTAGCTGCCCAGAGTTCCACAGGTCACCGTCACAGAGCCATCCTGAGCCAGCCTAGGTCCTCCAGTAGTTTGAGGTTAGCATAAGGGTGCCCGATGTGTTTTTCTTCTGTAGTCTATTTTAGTGGGGGAACCCTCCCAACCAAAAAAGGGCAAAAGGGCAATACTGGGGTACCTGGTCAAAGAGGTTGTCAACTACCCCCCCCGCTAGAAGTGACTGACTTTTAGTGGTTGAATGGAAAACTCATTCGTTGGCAAAAGTTAAAGTCCTAACATCCAAGCAAAATGCACCAAAGATTAGGTGTATATTACCCGAAGGGACAAATTGCCAGCTATGAAAAGAGATGACTCACGATTGGGAGCTGACTATGTAGACTTAGGGAATGGAGGGAATGACGTCAATATTACCACAATCGAAAGGGCCACCAACAGTTGATGCCGATCAACCGACAGGGGACCACCCAAAACCGATAAGTTTCATAAGCGTGCCTTCCCCCAACCATGTAAACTTTGAATCCTGATTCATACTTGGTGGGAACTGGGGTGCAACGAATCAGGGAACAACATGACCTTCAAGGCGAATGGATCCCAAAACGCCCAACTTGCATGATCTCATCACTTCCGCTTACATCCTCAGCATGCTTCCCCGCGCTTGGATCCAGGATGTTTGGGCAGCGAGCCAATGTTCATCTTGTTTGCCCCTCCTGTGCTGGTGTCTCCTTTACCAAATTCACCAGCGTTTCGACCGTGCACATCTACCTTGCCCAAAGGGTCATGATTAAAACATGAAAACCCACCATATCGAACCCAAAAGTTCAAACGGCCGATTCGCTTTTGGCAACGGCAAACTCGACTTCGAACTTCTGACTTCGTGTAAGCTCCAGGCGTACTTGCCCTCCGTGAAACCAGCACAGTCCTCGATCGCGAATCGGGAGCCTGTCTATCTGGTGTTGCTCCCATTCGACCGCAACACGTGAAGGGGAACCGGGGGAGAAACGACATCCATGTACAGTATCCCTTTGTGCAGACAGCCAGGGTTTGTAGAGGCAAGTGGTTCTGGAAAAGAATCTCCATTTTGGGGTTCGCTGCAATGGAAGTAAACCTCCGGTGTGACTCAACAGCCACCTTTTGCGAAATCAACACCAGGTAAACCAAACAACAAACCTTTGAGTCGGTGAAGCAAAATGACGACTTGGTCTCCATGAGGCCCAAGCTGGTGAGAACTGAGGCCAACATCCAGGTTCCCACAGTTTCCTTCAAGTGTGGCTTTAAAGATCACCCTTCCCTTGCTTCTTTCTGTGAGGTGGCTGTTGGTATAGTGCTGTCCCAAACCTCCACTGGCTGTTAGGGGGGGGTGGGGGAAGCAACTTTTTTCCCGCCCCTTCCCAAAATAGCAGCACAGGGCAGCGCTGGTTTGGGATGCTATGCTGAACATCCTTTAACCTCATGTGGGTGACCAGTTCTGGGATGCACACATTGTCCTTTCGTGATCGGAACCCGTTTATTAGAACCCTTCAAACGGGTCCCCTGACCTTTAATTGCAGCCTCTCTGAGCCTATGGCAAAGCTCCAGCTGCCGCCCGCGTTCACCGCCGTCGTTGGCTGAAGCGCCTCACATCGCGCACCGAAATCCGGACGTCATTTCAAAAGCACGGGCAGGAGAGGAATGGACTGGTTTGCCCGCCTCAGCTTTGACGCAACATGACATTAGATTCTGGGCGACTATGGGTTTGTCTTTTTTGAGGACCCCAAATAAGTGGAGTTGCCCCTTGGTTTCCCTTGGAAACAAGCGCGAAACAGCGTACCCTCAAAAAAGAGACGACCCATAACATGGATTTCGTCAACTTCAACGTCTGTGGCTACAGTCCCAGTGTCTTGGACTAAATCCCAATGTCTTGGAAATGCAAGGTTTCCGGCATGCCCGCCAATCTGCTGAACAGGTCTCAGCTATCACCTGCTGTGTTTTCAGGACACCTTTTCCAAAGCGCTTGAAACCAGGAAAGGTGGCTTTGCGGTTTCCCTTTAAATGCCCCCCCCCCTCCGGGTTTCCAAATAAAAAGCTGGGAACCACCTCAAAAGCGGTTGGGTGCCTTTCTGTCTGACCATTTCGAGTCCTTTTGAGCCCAAATTCTCGTATCTCCGGTGCCCCTTGCCTGGCTGTAGCTCTCAACGCTGATGCTGTCTTGCCGGCCTTTGGCTGCGCGTTTGCGCTTTCAGGGAAACGAGGCACGGGGGTTTTCCGGGGGGGTTTTCCGAGGCCTTTCTGGTCTGCACCTTCACATCAACCCACCTGGTCTGCGGGGCCTCGGAACCTGGACAGTTGCCGCTCCTTCCAGCTCGGTGTTGCAACTTGGTGCTGGACCCGCGTGCCCTTTGACGTTCATGTTCAAGGCGTTACCAAGGACTCCAAAGGGTCCACTTGTTGAACAACCCCTCCCGTGCTGTCGGAACTCCGACGAGTCTGGTTTTATCAAACGTCTGACGTGTCTGACGTGTCTGATGCATCTGACGTGTCTGATGTCTCTGACTTGTCTGATGGCTCCAATATCAATTGGTGGACCTGCTGCGAGTGGAGACCTGAATGCTTTGGTGAACATCCTTTCTGTCAATCTCCCCCGGAGGAAATATAGCTAGAACCCTGTCAACATATTGGCCCGGGAGTGAATTCTAGTTCGGGCTCCCTTTGGTGGTGGACATATGTGCGAGGTGTCCCATGAAACATCAGAACGAGAGCCCAAAACAATGCCTCACACTTGCTCCGATTATGACCATGACTTGAGTATGAGGGGCGAAACAACAACTGACCGCCCCTATGCTCACAACTGGCCGTTGTGAAGCAGCTCACTTTGCTGCAAAAAACGGACCAATCATGAAACAGGAAGGCGCACCGCACTGGAAAAAACGCCAAGCCCCAAGCCCGGCACATGGCCCACGCCCAGTCCATCGAAAAACCTCGAAACCACGAGCCTCTCACCCCTGGGGCTCGCACCTTGCCCCAAAAAACGGCATCCCACTTCCATCTGCGTGCAGCTTGCGACCGCACCTCGGCGACTCGGCTTGCATCCGCGCGAGTTGCGGCGCCTCGACTTGGCGTCGGCTTTTGAGGGTAGCCTTTCTTGGATTGAAAAGCCAAAGCGAGACACCTTTTTAAGACACCTTGTTTTTGCTTTTTGAGTTTACCCTTTCTGATTGCATTCAAAAGCCAAATGGATCTTTCTTTCAAGACACCTTGTTTTTGTGTTTTTGATTTTACCCTTTCTGATTGGAATAAAAAGCCAACGGAAAACAACATGTTTTCAGGACACCTTGTTTTTGATTTTTGAGTTTATCCTTTCTAATTGGATTAAAACGCCAAAGGGAAACACATTTTCAAGACACCTTGTTTTTGCTTTTGATTTTGCCCTTTCTAATTGGATTAAAAAGCCAAAGGGAGACACCTTTTCAAGACACCTTGTTTTTGTTTTTTGAACTTACCCTTTCTAATTGGATTAAAAAGCCAAAGGGAAGCACCTTTTCAAGACGCCTTGTTGTTGTTTTTTGGTTTTACCCTTTCTGATTGGATTAAAAAGCCAAAGGGAACACATTTTCGAGACACCTTGTTATTGTTTTTGAATTGACCCTTTCTAATTGGATTAAAAAGCCAAAGGGAGACACCATTTCAAGGCACCTTGTTTTTGTTTGTATGTTGCCCTTTCTGATATGATTGAAAAGCCAAAGGGAAAGACCTTTTCAAAACACCTTGCTTTGTGTTTTTCATTCTACCCTTTCTAATTGGATTAAAAAGCAAAAGGGAGACACCTTTTCAAGACACCTTGTGAACGTTTTTTGATTTTACCCTTTTAATTGGATTAAAAAGCCAACGGGAAACAACTTCTTTTCAAGACACCATGCTTTTGATTATTGATTTTACCCTTTCTAATTGGATTAAAAAGCCACCGGGAAACAACTTCTTTTCAAGACACCTTGATTTTGCTTTATAGATTTTGCCCTTTCTGATTGGAATAAACAGCCAACGGGAAACAACTTGTTTTCAAGACACGTTGTGAACGCTTTATTGTGTTTACCCTTTCTGATTGGAATAAAAAGCCAACGGGAAACAACATGTTTTCAAGACACCTTGTTTTTGATTTTTGAGTTTACCCTTTCCCATTGGATTAAAAAGCCAAAGGGAAACAACTTGTTTTCAAGACACCTTGTCTTTGATTTTTGATTTTACCCTTTCTGATTGGGTTAAACAGCCAACGGGAAACAACTTCTTTTCAAGACACCTTTTCTTTTTTGCTTTTACCCTTTCTGATTGGATTAAAAAACCAAAGGGAGACACCTTTTCAAGACACCTTGTTTTTGTTTTTTGAACTTACCCTTTCTAATTGGATTAAAAAGCCAAAGGGAAACACCTTTTCAAGACGCCTTGTTGTTGTTTTTTGGTTTTACCCTTTCTGATTGGATTAAAAAGCCAAAGGGAACACATTTTCGAGACACCTTGTGATTGTTATTGATTTTACGCTAAATCCAAAGGGAAAGACCTTTTCAAGACACCCTGTTTTTGATTATTGATTTTACCCTTTCTAATTGGATTAAAAAAGCCAAAGGGAGACACCTGCCGTATTTCAAGACATCTTGATATTATCCAGCTTTGAAAGGAAGAACCATGGGCCCTGCCGCCGATCCCAGTCAGAAGGCGATAATTCTGGGTTTCTGCCACCCAGCACCAGCAAATCAATGGAAGTCCCCCCAAAAGGGAGGTCCTTTCCCTAAAAGGTGATGCCGTTCTTTAAAGTGCACGGTTGATTGAGCACCATTCTCGGTGGCGACATACTACTTGCACATACATTTCACAAGCTCCTTTGGCCTCTGGCCTGTGAACATCAAGGAGAAAACGGACACACAATGCTCACTGCTTCTTTTCTCTCATCTTCCATTTGATTAAGACACCTGGAAAAAAACCTATTTCCAGTAGTGATAGATTCCCTTTAACACCAACAGGGGAACATAATAATTACAAAACAAATCTTATGCAAATGGAAGTCATGGAGCTGGCTGTCTCAAAATCTTTCGCAATCCATCCCTCACTGGAGACTCAGCTGCAGACTCACCACTCCACCCCTGCAAGTCCTGAGAGTCAGCGGCTCAGTCTGACTTCCAAACGTCGCAAAATGGACAAATGCTCATCCCCTTTTGGTTTCCTTGTGGGAAACAAAGGTCTGGACTGGTTTGCACCCAAAAATCCATTTGAAGTGCTACTTGAAAATCAGCAGAATGAGGTTGCTCTTAGAAAGATGAGAGGAAACATGGCCATGGGTCAAAACCCAAATCGTACCCCCAGTGAACATCCCAATCCCCACTATAGGTTCTAAAATGGGTGGTGAATTCACCTCTCCCAAAATGGGATCCCATTGGTTTTGACCCACTGCCATGAGTCAACTGCAGCTCTTCTGTTGTCTGAGCTAGAGGCAAAGCGATGTCTCCAGAATACTCATCGTTGATGGCATAGCAGTTGTCCTTGGCATTCGACTAGGTTCTCCAGCAGAAAGGTTAGAATAACGGTACCCTTTTTTTCTGTAGTTCCCCAGATAGCTGAAAGCTATAGGGGTTCTAACTTCTAATAAAGAGGGGAAAGTGATTTGCGAGATTGAGGGCCGGGTGCTAGGGGGCATGCAGTTTGAGGTGCTGGTGGATGCTGCTTTGCGAGCTTCACGACCGAGTGCTAGGGGGCATGCAGTTTGAGGTGCTGGTGGATGCTGCTTTGCGAGATTGAGGGCCGGGTGCTAGGGGGCATGCAGTTTGAGGTGCTGGTGGGTGCTGCTTTGCGAGCTTGACGGCCGGGTGCTGGGGGGCATGCAGTTTGAGGTGCTGGTGGATGCTGCTTTGCGAGCTTGACGGCCGGGTGCTGGGGGGCATGCAGTTTGGGCTGCTGGTGGATGCTGTTTTGCGAGCTGGCCGGGTGCTAGGGGGCATGCAGTTTGGGGCGCTGGTGGATGCTGTTTTGCGAGCTTGACGGCCGGGTGCTAGGGGGCATGCAGTTTGGGGTGCTGGTGGGTGCTGCTTTGCGAGCTTGACGGCCGGGTGCTGGGGGCATGCACTGTGGGGTGCTGGTGGATGCTGCTTTGCGAGCTTGACGGCCGGGTGCTGGGGGCATGGGGGGCATGCAGTTTGGGGTGCTGGTGGATGCTGCTTTGCGAGCTTGACGCCCGGGTGCTAGGGGGCATGCAGTTTGGGGGTGGGTGCTGCTTTGCGAGCTTGACGGCCGGGTGCAAGGGGGCATGCAGTTTGGGGTGCTGGTAGGTGCTGCTTTGCAAGCTTGACGACCGGGTGCTAGGGGGAATGCAGTTTGGGGTGCTGGTGGATGCTGTTTTGCAAGCTTGACGGCCGGGTGCTATGCAGTTGGGGGTGCTGGTGGGTGCTGCTTTGCGGGTGCTACGGGGCATGTTTGGGGTGCTGGTAGATGCTGCTTTGCGAGCTTGACGGCCGGGTGGGGGGCTGCTGGTTTGCGAGCTGGCCGGCGAGCTTGACGGCCGGGTGCTCGGGGGCATGGGATGCTGTTTTGCGAGCTTGACGGCTGGGTGCTGGGGGCATGCAGTTTGGGGTGCTGGTGGATGCTGTTTTGTTTTTCGAGCTGGCCGGGTGCTAGTGGCATGCAGTTTGGGGTGCTGGTGGATGCTGTTTTGCGAGCTTGACGGCCGGGTGCTGGGGGGCATGCAGTTTGGGCTGCTGGTGGATGCTGTTTTGCGAGCTGGCCGGGTGCTAGGGGGCATGCAGTTTGGGGTGCTGGTGGATGCTGTTTTGCGAGCTTGACGGCCGGTTCTAGGGGGCATGCAGTTTGGGGTGCTGGCGCATGCTGCTTTGCGAGCTTGACGGCCGGGTGCTAAGGGGCATGCAGTTTGAGGCGCGGGTGGATGCTGCTTTGGTTGTACCGGGTGCTAGGGGGCATGTTTGGGGTGCTGGTGGATGCTGTTCGCGTGTAACGGTTCGTGGCTGGTGTATCGTCATGATGTTCCCACGTTATGGTGTGTGGGTGTAGTGGCGCCGTGATGCTGTCAACATCAGGATGATGCAGAATTTCATTAAGCTGTCGCAAGATGGTTCGTGGCTGTGGTATCATCATGATGCTGTCTTTACCATCAGCATGATGCTGTTCGCATCACCATGATGCTGTCCGCATCATCATGATGCTGTCCGCATCATCATGATGCTGTCGAACTCATCAGGACCTCGTTTTTGCTTTTTCCTGCCGGATTGCTCTCAAAATCATCATTATGCTGCTGATCTCATTAGGACGTTGTCTGCGCGTTTGTTTCGTGGCTGTGGTGTCATCATGGTCTACATCCTCATGATAATGCTGCGTCATGGTTCGTATCCGTGGTGTGCTATCTGGGGTCTATGCTGGTGTATTTTATTTTAGTAGGGGAACCCTCCCCCAAAAAGGGTAAAAGGGCACTACTGGGGGACCTAGTAGAGATCATGCAGCACCAGTGCACAAGTTTCACAAACGGGCGGGGGGCCAAGCAATTTACCAGGGTCTGAAAAAAGAAGAAGAAAAAAACGGACGTGAACAAATTGTTGGACACAAGAAACTCAGCCATTGCAACTGCTTGTTACCTGTTGCCATCTGTTACCCCCTCCCTGGGGGTATGAATGTAGACTTTACAGGGGGTGACTTTATACTACTGATTCTCAGACGGTCCCCTTCCGCAGGCGATTTTTTCTCATGCAAGGGGGGTGTGGGACACAGCGCGTGAACCTTGACGTTGGATTCCCCTGGGCCGGTCCAACATCCTGAGCATCGATGTGTGGCGCCCCCAACCAGAATGACGTAGAAACCATGAGCAACCCGGATCAAACGAAAGTCTGTACTCGCGTCGTCTAGCGACATGTCCAAAAGTGACAAAGGAGCGGCACTCCAAAGGTCCCTACTCCCATCCTGCGGGGACTTCTCAAAAGGAAAGAGTGGCGGAACAAAGAAGGAAAAAGCAGAAAACAAGAAGCAGGAAAGAGCTTGACTGCGCCCCCAGCCATCACC